AGAAGAGGGGCAGGGCAATGGAGTAAGATTGCTCAGTGTGGAATTAATTACCGTATTTGCCGGCGTATAAGACGACTGGGCGTATAAGACGACTCCCTAACATTTCCACTCAAAATACAGAGTTTGTTATATACTCGCCGTATAAGACTACCCCCTCTTCCGCACACCTTCCACACACCAAATAAAAGGTAAAACAATATCAGATTTGATTTGGCCCACTGAAGTGCAAACAAGCGTATTGTATTTCGTGTCACCACATAACCGTTTTGGCGATGTTGAGCCACCATGTCTGCTACATGTTTTTTGAGTTCTGGCCAGTGTGGAGTGCCTCTTCTTAATGCACACTTACCCCTTGGCATACTCTTTAATGCTTTCTCATTTGATTTCCAGTCCCGAACCATCTTTTCTGTTACTCCATATTGTCTTGCAGCAGCACAATTATTATTTTCCTTAGCAAAGTTTATAACTTTCAGTTTAAAATTTGCATCATACTTCTTTCTTTTGGCTGGTGCCATGATAGGGATGATAGGGGTTTGACTGGTCGACATTTTCTATGCTGTACTGTACAATGGTGCAGTATTGTGGTTGGCTGTTGGCTGTATACAAAGCCTGATTTGATTGGTCCCTGCTCCCTGTTTGCCCGCCCTGTCACTATAGCAGTCTGGTCCACCCTTGCATCAGCATCTCCCTGGGACCTCACTAGTGCGCAAGTGCGAGCTCTTCAACATTCTAACAGGCACCATGATAGCGCAAAATCGCGAATCTTCAATGCATATGTAAAGAAATATACGGTAACCCGAATTTACCACACTCGCAAAATCGCACACAGCCGAGCATACACCCAGCAGCGCTGCTGATGCCTGAAAGGTATGTGGAATGAAGTGGGCGGGCATCGGGAGGCCACTATGGCACGGGGCAAGCACTATGGGCAGTCTATCTGAAGTGTACCTGGCGTATAAGACGACCCCCCACTTGGAGGCATATTTTTCAGGGCCAAAAAATCGTCTTATACGCCGGCAAATACGGTAGTCTGTAATCATTGGAAGGCAGGGAAGGTGGTTAGGGTCCTTGCTGGGGACTAAAGGTTATGCTAGAATTCAGTAGGACACGTACTTCTTAGCGCAGGACAGGTTAGCTTTATTTTCTAGCACTGAGAAAGGGCTGGAAGATACGAAGTGACCTTGGAGTGGATTTAACTAGTAGAAGGAGGTCTGCTATCAGCGCCTGACCTGATATTTTTAAAGCCCAACGAGTGCCAATATTTTCATTTCTGTTTAATATTTATTCATTTGTACATTTTTTTCCCAAGCCAAAGCTTTCTGGTGTAATAATAAAATATCTGATAGGGTGATATACACATGGCACACAGTTCGATCAACATGTGTTCAGGGAAGAAATGTAAACATTCCTTGAGCTTCATGTAACACTTGATCCTCTGTGTTAGTTAAGCATGAGTCAAATGAGAAACAAAGGCCTCGTGCTGTGCCTTGAAGGTAAAAGGAAAACACATGGAAAAAAGGTAATCTCCATGGTAATCAGAGCTTGAAAGATCAATAGCCACTTATAAACAAATAGGTTATCAATTTCCATTAGTACTTTACCAGTGTAGCAGCTGGAGGCCTTCAGGAAGAATGAAAATTATATGTCAGTAATGTATGTAGTATGTGACCCTAAAACAGTTGTTAATCAGATCTCCTTAAAAGCTACTCAAAACAGTTAAATGTGGAATTCTTCAGTATTCTCTGCTTTTAGGTGCCACTAGATTCATAAACTTTGTGAACAGAAATAACAATGATTCTTCAATTTCTGATTGCTTTTCCCTCTGCTGTTCTGGTCATGTCTTCGTTAAGGGTGAAAACCAGGACCGTTTACATTGTGTAGAGATCAGCTTTTAGTGGCTGATGATAAGCAAGGCTTTACGTGGTATAAATGGTCTTCATTCACGTCTTTTTAATAGGTTAAAAAATCATTGAGATAAGTCTGATCCTTCTAAATTAATCTCTACTCACTATGTACAGAGAAAACATAATGAATGACTTCCTTCAGCATCCTAGAATAATGAAAAAGTAGATTGTGAAGGTACAACTTTTGGGTCAAGCTAGTGGTTACCAATGACAAGAAAAACTACATCTTTCTCTTACCCAGCCATGCCCCATCTCTTAACAGTCCCTTGTATGTTTATTAAACACTTATTAACATTTACTAAACAGACATTTATTAAAAACATGACTGAGCCAAGTCCTGCGCTCAGCACTGAGGGTACACAAATGAGTAAGACCTAAGGAGGCTTCTCTCCCAGTGGCCATGCTGGACTGAGGCCGTAATGGCCGCTGAGATCGCTAAGGCCCAGGCTGCCCAGCCTGGTAGCAACATGATCTTTGGGAAGGCCATTCTCAGGGAAATCCCAGCCAAAATCATTTTGGAAGATAACCAATGTCCTACTTTCTGTGACATGCCCCTCAAGCACCTACACATTTCTGGTAATACCCAAGAAGCATATGTCCCAGGTTTCTTTAGCAGAAGATGATGATGAAAGTCTTCTTGGGCATTTAATGGTTTTTGGCAAGAAATGGGCTGCCGATCTGGGCCTCAACAAGGGTTATTGAATTGTGATGCACAAAGGCTCAGATGGGAAATGTCTATCACGTCCATCTCCATGTTCTTGGAGGTCAGCGGATGAACTGGCCTCCGGCTTAAGCATGTTTTAGGGATAATTTTCGGTTTTGCAAGTTCTAATATGCTAAACAATACACTTATTTTTGCCTGTTTATGGACAGAGTGAGGAAATAATTTGAAAAACCCACACATAATGTAAGACATTGTTTCATGGTCCTAAAACAAAGGGAAAAAAAGAATAAGACCTAAGGAACTAAGAATCTGGTCAAGTTATCTAGTGAACTGGTAGCCTGGTGCAGAGCCCAGCCGTGAATACTTGACACAGTGCATAAAGCTGGTGGTCATTTTTAGAACTGTGTCAGGTACAGTAAGATACTTCAAGCGTTCTCAATATTATTTAATCTTATATAAGTCCCATAATTACCCCCAAGGTACTGTCATTTCCCAATTAACATAGATGAAGGAACTGAGATACTTAACAGAGCTACCTAAGTGAGAGCACTGTGGCCAGATCTCAACATGGAAAGAAGTGAATGGTGAGAGACAAGAGTCAAGCAGGTTCCAGATCATTCAGGTGCTTTTAGGACAAATTAAGTATTGGGTCTTCGGAAAAGTCATGACGCATGTTTGCAACAGATGGCACTAATTCATTTTTGGAAGTACTAGAGTCATTCGCATCCATATTATTGCTATGTCATTTGACAGCTGAGAATTCTAGCTTCATTCTAAAAAAAATTGAGCGATTTGATTGAGTTTTGGAGATTTTACAAGTTGATTTTGAAAGACAAAACTTTGCATTTTTGCCGTATTTTACTGTTTTACTGCCATAAAGGGGAAAATGTGTGTCAAGCTTGTGAAAAGTTGCATGAAGTTTACAGTGACAATCCTCTACAAGAATGTCAGTGCCAGCGATGGTTCACGAAACCCCGTGCTGGTGATTGTGATCTCAACGATGCTCCTCGGTCAGGGAGACCCACTGAGGTTGATGATGACAAAATAAAGGCATTGATCAAGTCAAACCCAAGTTACACGACATGAGAATTTGCAGAAACATTGAACATCCATCATTGAAGCATTCACAACCACCTGAAGAAGCTGGGATATGTAAGCAAGCCCGATATTTGGGTTCCACATGAACTCAAGGATGTTAACATCTGCAATATACTCATTAAACATGAGGAAAATGTTCCTTTTTTGAAGCAACTGATAATTGGTGATGAGAAGTGGATTGTTTACAACAATGTGGTGCGCAAACGGTCTTGGTCCCAACGTGATGACTCGCCTTAAAGGACATCGAAAGCAGACATTCATTAGAGGAAGGTTATGTTCTCAGTGTGGTGAGATTTTAAAGGTGTTGTGTTTTTCGAACTCCTACCAATGAACCAAACAATCAATTCAAATGTGTACTGTTGGCAATTGGAAGTTTGAAAGAATCCATCATCCAGAAACATGCAGAGCTTGCTAATTATAAAGGAGTTGTGTTCCATCACGACAACGTGAGACCACACACAAGTTTGATCACCCGTCAAAAATTATTGGAGCTTGGATGGAATGTGTTGCCACACACTCCATACTCCCCTGACCTTGTGCCGTCAGACTTCCACCTGTTTCGCTCTCTTCAAAACTCCTTGCGTGGTATAACATTCAATTCAGATGAGACTGTAAATCAGCACCTTGTTCAGTTTTTCACAAATAAAGACAGGTCCTTCTATGAACGAGGAATTATGAAGCTCACTGAAAGATTGCAAAAGGTTATCGAACAAAACGGGCAATATATCATTGATCTTTGTTCTTTATGTAAATAAATGACCTTTGAAAAACATAGACAAAATACGTCATGACTTTTCCAAACACCCAATAGTTTAGAGTTTTTTCTAAGAGCTCTGAAAAGCTATGGAAAGATTTTAAGCAGGGATTTGCATTTTAATAAAATCGTCAGATCATAATGTGGTGCAAGTACTTTAGTAGTGTTTGAGGGGTAATCCAAGATGGATGCTGCCTACCTCATTCCACACTGTTGTGAAGATTTTGTTTTTGCAGTGTTTTTATATATGGCCTTCATTAAGAGAAAGAAAATCTGAGTTATAAATAGACAATAATGCAAAATCACTTATCATATAATCACAGAGCACTAGAACTTCATCATTTTATAGATCAGAAGACTAAAGTCCAAGAAGCAGAATGACTGACCGAGGTTGCAGAGTGACAGGCGACTCTGGCCCACTCAGGCCCAGACCAGCACCTCCAGACTCCTTGATGTGGGCTGGGCTTCTTTCCAGGACCCTGCACTGTTTCCACCTCAAGAGGGTTAAAGAAAATCATATTTTACAAAATATGCTGTGTTCAGAAGGGCTCAATTCTTTATTTTTTTTTCCCTTGCTTAGGAACCTTTCACAACCTTCTTCCTCAATGCAAATGATGGAAAATTTGACCATCCAGATCGAACCTTCTCATCAGTTGCCAGGTCTTGGAGAACTAGTCAGAGAGATACTTCTGATGTAAAGGTAGGCTCTTTTATTTGTTGATATTAACTTAATTTCCAAATATGTTGAAATTTTCATATTTTTAAAGTTAAGTGGGTATATAAGACATTTTATACAGCAGCTTTCTAAAATTATTTGGTATATCTAACCTAAAAGAAAACCAAAGAAAATAATTTTGAGCATCATAGAAAATGAATCAGGATCCTTTATATTGTTCAGATAAGGTGCTTTCTTTATTTCAAAAAATTCCTATCTAATTTACATCGAATAATCAGGAGATGGAAAGGAAAACCCATAAATTGCCCTTCCTGCTGTTAACTCAATATTTGGCCCATTCCATAAAACACAGCAGGAATTGGATTTGACCTTAATGTGTCATATTGTTATAGCTTGCCTAGCTTTGGGTCTACGTAGCCTGGGGCAATTAATAAAGCATTAATGACAAGACCCATTTAAAATGGAGGCTCTTCTGTATAGCCGTTGCTTTTACTTGACTGTGCCTGGGGATACTATGCAACAATACACATTAGATTAAACCAACACACACGATACCCAGGAACAGCCAGAGAGCAGAGCAATTTTACAGTTGGTACTACTTAACTATTGTAGTATATTGAGTAAATATTTGTTGCTCATTTATATGGGCTTTTGGTTTAAAAAATAGTTGTATTCAAAACAATAAAATGCATTTGTTCTTTCATTTTTTTCCTGATAAGATTATGTGATCAGGTTATTGCATAGGTATATGTGTTTCTTATTTTAGTCCCTTTTTCTTCAAGGCAGAATTTTTCCTGTCACTGCCATTCATACTGTTGGATATAAAAATGTTATAGTATCATTCTGTTTAGGGTCTTAATCCAACAAAAGGCAGTGAATTAAAGTCAAAATTATCATTTTTATATTTATGCTTATCTGTTGCAAACATTTTTAAAAAGCAATTACAGTGTTACTGAATAGTGAGAAAAGTGGATGGATACAACTTTGTTGAGTTTTTTTTTTAAGCAAAAATTAAAGAAAATGGATCCAAGGAGTATGTCGCATCTCTGTGTTATTCATTGCCATCAAAGTTTGCATAAGTGAATATTCATTTATACTCACAAGATATTCACATTTGGAAATAAGATATTTAACATGCACCCTTACTATATTAAACTCTTAAGGCCCACATTTTTCTCCTAACAGACTTAAAACTTCACTGAGGAATAAAATTCTGAAAGATCCAAAAACCATCATTTAAACTAATTTACTACCACTGAAATCAGGGAGGGAGACCGTTTCATTTCTTTTTTTTTTTTAATTAAAGTTTATTGGAGTAACAATGGTTAATAAAGTTACATAGGTTTCTTAACAGCAATCGGATAATTTACAGGAAATGGGGAGTCCATAGTCTTCTAGAATTAGCATACTGTTCATAAAACACATTCAATAAATAGTTTATATGTGAATTAAATATTCTTATCTATATTTTAAGGCATCCTATCCTATATAAGATTATTTATATCTTAATTCAGAGTTGTATCCATATTATGTCAAGCTCTTCCAGGTAAAAATGTCTACTCACTCTCGTTTGACATCCTCACAAAAAAGAAACGGCTTTTCAACTTAATTCAAAGCCCACACATTATCAGTCATTCTAATTTATGTATGTAGATACAGTTTTAGGCATTTTATTGATGCTTTTGATAAACAAATATCTCACCAAGTTACATGGCAGTCTCTTGACCAATGTCCATACCAGGCTTTTCCCCCTAAAACTACTGGGAGGATTCTCATATATTCCGAAACTTTTCAGAAACATTTACATTTTTTATTAATTATGTTCTTTTGGCTCCTGAGGTCACATCATCAAGGACAAAGACCAATGTGGCCATCACTAATTTGGGAGGTATTTTAATTTTTTATCCTCAAGCAGCCATACTGAATACAAACAGGTACCACCCTCCATACCCCCAACTTAATTAGTTCATAAGAAGCTCATTTCCACAGTTCAACGTTACATGAATTGCTCTCAATTGCTTTTTAGTTCTCTCCCACCACCCTGAACCTTCATATTTTATGATAATGTATCTTGAATATCTTTCCATGGGGACCCTTTGTTTGTAAAGGCTGCACATTGCGTGCAGTACAGTTAGTTTCACACCTTCCCATTGATGCATAGTTTGTCTTTCTCTCTGATGGTTACTGTTAAACAAAGCTTCAGTGAACATCCTTGCACAGACACCTTGATGAACTTCCTATATATATGTCAAGGATATTTTCTGCTAATGGGACTGGTGCCTCAAAGACTATATACGTTTTTACTTTTGAAAGCTATTGCCAAATCATGATTCCTGAGATGGTAATTCACTCCCACAGCAGAGCGTGAGGGTGTCTGTTCCCCACGCTCCTGTCATCACTAGCATAGTAACAGTGTGACTGCTAATCTGGTGAGTAAGGAATGGAGTTGTCTTTGTTTTGGCTTGCATTTCATGAATCAGGAGTGAAGTTGAGCATTTCTTATATATTTATTGAACTGTAAACTCCCTCATATTTTTTACCCATTTTTCAATTGAGTCATATGGCCTTTCTTATTAACTTGAAAAAGACCTTTGAAATTGCAGCAAGTTGAATTGCAAGTATGGTTTCTCAGTCTTTCAGCTTTCCTGTAGCGCAATATTTTAATTATATTGTTGTTCTTGTCGTATGTATCCAAATGTATCAGTCTTTCTCTTTGTAGCATCAGACTTTTAGGGTCCTCATTAAGGGAATGTTAAAAGCTTTTTTTGGTAATACTGGCTGTATCTTATTTCCTAAATTCATCTTTAAATATACTGATTAAAATGTATAGTATTTTTTGCCTCTAAAATAATACCTGATTTAGCAGGGAAGAATATGTTACCAAGAGTAATAATAGTTTTGCTAACTGTGTGTTAAAACCTAAGCTTTTGATTTTTTTATCCCTAAGCTATAAAAATAAAGCATGTATATAATGTAAAAAAATGTTTTTCATTTCTGAAGAAAACTATCTCTGCAATATCTACTAACTTAGTCAGATAATCATATATGAGAGAACTAGAACAGAGAAGGTTTCATTCTGTCTCTCCTTATTAGCGTCAGTCTCTTCCTGTGGTAATGAGTACCAGCTGAGCAGAGGAGTGCTGGTGAAGCAACCTTTCAGGAGAGAAGCCTCCTGAGTTAAGTCAGACCAGTGAGGTTTTACTTTATATTTTTTATTTCTCTCCTCTAGCACAGTCTTAGCAACAGTGACACTCAACTTCCTGCAGTTCTTACACTAATTTTCCTTAATGCCTTCAGAAGTTGTTATATTACTTTTGAATAGCTATGTAGATGTCAGAAAAGGTAACTGTGACAAAATGTCATTAAGGTGACATAGTGTAAATTAATACAGTTAATGGAGGTGCTCACCACTGACTCATTGACCCATTATGAGCTCTTGTGGAATTAACGAATGCCAGGGCATCAATCTTTTGGAAAAAGGGAAGAAAGGAGGTGGCAGCTTTAAAACCTTGCAGTGAATTATTTTCGAAAAGTGAAAACGTCTGGGTTGGTTTTGATTTCACTTGGAAGCCATAAAATCGTATGTTCTCTCAGCAAAATATATGAAACTGAAATGTCAGATTTGATGCAATAGGTATACAATTATGATAGTGTTAATAGTGGTCTTCTATCATTCTAAGACAGACTTTCAAGTCCAATTTCTCAGCAGCTTGAACTTGTCATAAGCTTGTAAATTAGAAATTGTGTTTGAGGATCTTTTCTTCTTATTGATGGAACACATATAATACTATTAACTGTACCATGGGGTTTTAGTATAGCTGTTAAAATAAACTAGAAATCACATTTACAGATACAAAATGCCTGTTTTAATATTTGTCTTGCCATTTCTTTAATAATATTTGGTGTCTTTGCACCATTTTTCATTTAGGAAATTTTAAACTACTTTGACCCTTTCCTTAAAGAGAAGCTGATTAACAGAAATCTATCCGTGGGAAGCAAGTAAGCAGAAGAGCTGTTTTAAGTAGGCAAGCTGGTGCCCAAAGTGCCTCTGCAGGGGCACACTTACCAGTTATAATAAATTCCTTTTCAGACGAGATCCTCTCTACTTCAGGCTGTGAATTCGAATGCTGTTTATAATGCTCTGAAGATTCTCTGAATCCCTTTGTGTAGCTGAGTGTGTCTACAAACCACTACTTAAATGTTGCAGAGCATTTATAGAGGGACTTACTGACCCACTCTTTACCCCGTGGCCATATTTTACCTGCAGCACCGTAGTCAGCCTTTGCCCCAAACCAGTTCTTATTTTAAGAATCTGGCAAGACTATCTAAGACCCTTATATTTCTCTAAACACTGCTTCAAAACTGAAGTTTCTTCCTTAGTTCATACTACCTTATCCACATACCATAAAAAATAAGAATAAAATAAAAAAGCAGTGATCACTTTGAGCGTTCCACCTGGAAATCTCCTTAAGCAGAAGCACACGTTCATTAGCTACTCTCTCTACCTTTGAAATTATTGTAGAAACCAGTCTTGTTCATTTTCCCACCACTATATAACACAAGTTGCTTTCCTCCTGCTTCAGATAGCAACTTCCTTACTGATGTCCAGACTCCAGCAACAGTCTCCCTACCCCCACTTCCAGCCTCTGCCTGCTGCCAAGTCCCAAAGCTAATGCCACCTGTTTTCAGTTTTTATTATTTCAGCACTGATTTCTGTTTCAGTTAATCACTACTGTGTAACAAATCATCCAAAACATTGTCTTAATACAACAGCAACTATTTTTTGTTGCCGGTCATGCAGTTGGAGCTAAGGCTCAGCAAGGCCCACCCATCTCCCACACAGTGGCCTTGGAGTGGCTTGGCTGGGCCAGGGAAGCCAAGATGGCTTTGCTCACATGTTTCGTGCTTCCTCTGAGCTGGCTAGAACAGCGAGGGACTCTTCACATGGTTTTTTCTTGAAGGTCGCCGCACCATTTTATGTGATGGCTGGCTTCTAAGGGGACGGAAACAGGAGCTGCAGGCCC